CAAGAGTATGTGTAAAGCAGGATTCCTCTGGATTGTGGTTGGAAACCACACAGGGAAGTGGGTCTCAAATCGGATTCCAGTTGACAAAAGAAAGAAATAAGAAGAGGTAGGAGAACATGAGGCCGTTCACACCTTTCACTGTGGACAACTATATGTAGTTGTGACGCTGGAGGTGGCTTAGTTTTTCAGCAGGTCAGAAGTTTAATGCTTTACTTCCAGTTGATAATCCCAACTAGAGTAGCCATACTGAACCAGCGTTGAACCAACTGTTACAAGAGTTCCATAGATTCAGTGGGTCTACTCCAGTTTGGATACCAACTGGGTGCAGAACAATGGCCTCAGGCCATGTGCGCTGGGTTGGATTAAACAATATCCCAGATGGCGGTGGCCAAAGAATGTGAGTTCCACTCATATCATCATAGGATCATAGAATAATTGAGTTGGAAGGGGCAAACTCAATAAGGCCATTGAGTCCAACTCCCTGCTCAAGGCAGGAATCCGAATCAAAACAGATCTGATGAATGTCTAATTTTCTCTTTAATTTTTCAGTGTTGGAGTGCTCACCACCTCCTGAGGCCACTTTTTCCATCATCGCACTGATATTCAGCCTAAACCTGGCTTCCTGTAGCTTAAATGTCCTGCACTCCGGGAAGATCGAGAACAGACCGAACCCCTGCTCTGTGGAGCAGCCGTGCAAGTATTTGGAGAGTGCTGTCATATCTTGCCTCTTCTCAAGGCTAAACATGCCCAATTCTTTCCGTCTTTCCTCTCAGGGCTTGATTTCCAGCCCCCTGATCATCCTTCTTGCCCCTCCTCTGAACTCGCTCCAGTTTGTTAGCATCCTTTTTCAAGCGTGGTGCCCAGAATTGAACAGAGTACTCTAGAGGTCGCCTAACCCATGCTGAATCGAAGACGACAAGTAACTTCACGGGATTTGGAGACTAACATTAATAGGCTGGAGAACTTCAGCGTGCAAAGAACAAGCCCAAACAGTAGATACATACTCCATAACCAATACGTCCTGCTTTAAATACCCTTAATTTCAAGCCAACAGCTAGAAACTGGGAGCTGTGTTAAGAAGGTAGATTTGACCCAATCAAAGAAGCCTATTACAAGCTGAGTGGGGGAGAAGTTCTTTTCCTCCCCCTACATATTGACTATACCTGTGGTTCCCAACCATGGGTGCTCAGAAGTTCTTGGACTACAACTCCCAGAAGCCTTCACTACCAGCTGTGCTGGCAAGGATTTCTGGGAGTGGTAGTCCAAGGACACCTGGGTGACCCAAGGTGGGGAAGCACTGGACTAGAGGATTGAAGGGAGGATGGGGAAATTTCCCACTAAAGTAAAGGGAAGTGTAGGCTTCTGCCGAAAAAGCACCAAGGATGCGGAAGTTGGGGAATCAAAGGAACCCTTCAAGAGATAAAATATCTTCTCCCCAACCCAAAGTCTGAATGTTTCAGGCCAAATCTTTGTCTTGCAGGCACCATTTGTGTGGTTGTGTGCTGTTCTCGGAACACAACAGAATGGAACAAGTCTTGCTCGGAAATGAGCCCAACATGGCAACGGAGACTCAACATAGCACGACACCCATAAATAATTAGTACGGTTTTCAGCTGATTAGTCACAAAATAAGAAAAAGGACAAAAGACAGAAGAGGCATGCGTGGAAACAGGAAATGTTTTCTCTTTCTCTTTTTCTTCCCCCCCCCCCTTACTAGGGACAACAAGACGGAAACCCTCGTCCCCAAAGGGAACCTTTGATTCCACCCAGCTATCATCACCCCACTCAAGGCGGATACATCCTATGATTGACTATCCCATCTTTCTAAGAAAATCTCAACACCGTCGTTTTCCAAATACAGTCTAGGGAAAACTGATGGAGCCCTTACTGACCCACATTTCTTAATTTTCTTCCGTTGCCTTAGGGGGTGAGCTGAGTGGGATAGTGGATATCAAATCCCATATAAGAGGGACTTGCATGGCCATAACCTTGTCTCTTTTCGACCTTCCTGTCTTCTAGGGTTAAAAGAGGGGGAACCCCATTTCAAAAACCCTCAATGAATGAATATATTGTTCTTGGTCCAGGCAGTGGCAGGTGGCGGATGCGTTTCCCCCCAACAGGCCCACTTTGTCCTTGAAAATGTGAACTCAAGCCTACACCAGTGGACCAACCCCATAGCGTCCCTGGAGGGGAAACTCAGGAAAAGTCCCAGCAGACACCTACCTGATTTTTAGCCTGCCTGTACAGAGTCTGTTTTATTGTTTCAGAGTCTAAGGTGGAATTATACACCTCTTTAACGTCAAAAGCTTCCTCCGAGGCCTTGCGTAGATCCAGCCCCTTCCCAAAATGCGGCATCTGCTCCAAATCTAACAAGCCGGCTTCGTCCTCCTCAATACACCTGTACCAATGACCAGGAGGGGAGGGGAGGGGGTTCACCTGTTAGCGCATCTGACTGTTCACAGTTGGGGGGAGGAAGCGAGAGGAACGCACGCCAAAGTCAAGCGACAAGACATGCACACGGATCACAGAGCTGCTGGAGGCAACATGCAGGATGCGAGGACGGGAGCGTTACACAAGACAGGTGGGCCGATGGACAAAAGAAGACATTACGCATGACATGAAGAAGACGATCAAGCATAGGCACAGTGTGTGTGTGTGTTTGTGGTTTTTTTGTGTGTGTGTTGCAGATGAGCATTTCTGGACAAATTCACTGCTTGGGCAAGTCAAGAGTAGAATTTGCAAGATTGGCCTTTACTGCAAGCCTTTGTCTCCTGTGCTTCAACCAACAACTTTAACTAGGGGCTGGAGGCCACGTCTCTATGGAATTCTTGATGCTTCCCATCCAACAGTAATGTATCAAATAAGGAGTCTTCTTTGACTTGTTGCCCTCTGGATGTGTTGGACTTCCACACCCAAGAGTTTCAGCCAACAAGACCAACCGTTAGGAATTCTGGGAAATGTTGGTCAAAAGAGGGGTGCTCATCGGGGGAAGGTTAGTGTCCCCAAGAGGTGGTCTAGGTCAGTGGTTCTTAACCTTTGTTACTCAGGTGTTTTTGAACTGCAACTCCCAGAAACCTCAGCCTTGGTGAAGGTGAAGGCTTCTGGGAGTTGCAGTCCAAAAATATCTGAGTAACAAAGGTTAAGAACCAGTGGTCTGGGTGGTAGGTAGGATTTCATAATCATAATGAAGTTGGAAGAGGCCTCTAAGGCCATCGAGTCCAACCCCTTGCTCAAGGCAAGAATACAAATCAAGGGGTATCTGCCAGGTAGCTGTCCAGATTTCTCTCGAATGCCTCCAGGGTTGCTAAGCACTCCATCTCCATGTATTCCTGATATCATGGCAAATATCTCCTCCTGGCTTTGTCTGCCTTGCTATTTCGAGGTATTTTTTGATGCTCATAGCATCAGCTCTATTCTGTTCCCTTTTTGTCCTTTGCCCTCCGTGTCCTGGACCTTGTTTGTCCAGCTTGCCCTTTCACCTTCTTGGTGAGGGTGAGCCGATGTGGTTTTAACCACCAAGCAATGGCAGTATTCAAGCCGAAAGGTAAAAGGTTTTTCCGTCTCTTTTCCTCACCTTTTGAAACCCCCCTTTTTTCCCCCCATGCAGGGTTTGTCGTATAATGCCTCCAGCCTCACTAATACTCCCTTTGGGCAGACGTGACTGGAAAGCAGAGGTAGGTAAAATGGGGCCGTCAGCAAAAGCCAACCTTGCCAGTGGAGAGGAATGCTGAGAAACGGAGTCCAGGAGCTTCTGGACAGCTGCGTTTTGTCAATCCTTGCTCTCAGGATTGCCAGCAAAACAATTATCCTTTCCCTTCTGTCTTCCTTTATCTGTCTTATTATTCTTGTTTTCAAAGGAAAATAAAAACCAGATGCTCTCTGCTATAGCTTTAGGTCAATGGTTTAGGGATCTCACTGCAGAACCCACTGGGTCTCCTGGGAGTAGAGCCAGCCTGGGCGGCCTTGGGTGAGCTGTGCAGTGCCAGCATACGTCCAGAAGAAGGGGATGGGAAACAACTTCTGAATAGTCTCAACCTGAAAAAGCTTGGGTTGCCATAAGTCAGAATTGACTTGATGCCACATGATTATTAAAGCTGGCTGCATAGTTCAGTGGTTTAGATCCCTGGCTGCGGAGCCAGAGGTTGGGAGTTCGATTCCCCCATGGGGCCTCCTGGGAGAAAAGCCAGCCTGGGTAGCCTTGGGCAAGCTGCACGGTCCCAGGGCGCCCCATGGAGGAAGGGAATGGGAAGCCACATCTGAGGACTCTCTACCTGGAAAACCCTGGAAAGGGTCGGCAAATCATCTTGAGTGCATTTATTTATTTCTTTAGCGTATACACCGCCCTATTTAGTGAGAAGACCTACTCAGGGCAGTTCACATTTTATTGATTGACTGAATGATTGATTTCTACTCCCATTCACCTTCTCCTGGTTTGGAAACCCATGGGTTATAGGTTTTGGATGAGATTTCTTCCCTTTTTTTCTTTTTAATTTACAAACCTACACACTTCTGCATAAAAGGGCAGAAAGAACTCCCTTATTTGTTTCCACGTGGCCTTTTCATTTGGAAAATGGCAAGCTGACAAGATCCTCTGGTTGCTGTGAGAGCGAATGAATGAGTCAAGAATTTGCTGTGGAGTGTGAAACATGGGCATGGAATCCCACAGCTCTTAAAAATGAATGACTCCAGGATTTTTATGGATGAAGAATAAAAATAATCTCTTTGGTGAAGTCTGTGTCAATGTCTTCCCAGCCAAGGCAACATGTGCACCAGAACCAACGGGAACAAAGAGGGGTGTGGTATGTGCTAAGTTGCCATCTTTATATCATATCCTAGTTGTCTTTGGATTTGATGTATGGGTGACCTAGACTTCCTTGGCAACTTGTGTGGGTTCGGCATATGTGATGCACCCAAGACTCCCAGGGATCATGGGATCTGCAGCTTCTATGATACCCAATGATGTTGGTCCAAATGCATGTGTGTAGAAGCACAGCTGGCTCTCACCCGGAGTTTCCATGGCATGTGAACACACCATGGCTAAGTACGGTCTTTCTCCAGTAGGAGAGCTGAGTTCGAGTCTCCTCGCTAGAGAGGAAAGAGCATGGCTAAAGTGGATGCCAGGCCAGATGGATGAGCGTGACTACCCCATGACTCGCTGCGGAGGGGCAGGCAAAAAGCAGGCACTTCCCCCAACACCATCCACCAAACACCACTCCACCCACCTTCGGGTACGGTCAAAGCTCATGGTAAGAGAGGTGGCCTCCTCTTCGTCCTCGTCCTCATACCCTCCTTGCGGCTCTGTCGTCGGCGACCCCGTCTCGTCCTGCGACTTTCCCGTCAGGCTGTCATCATCTTCCTCTTCCAGTTCTTCCTCCTCCTCATCCACATCCTCCACCTTGTCGTTTGCCAGCCCGTGGCACTGGGAGCTTCCGTCCGTGGTCTGGACCTCTGGCCTGCAAGGCGTGATCAGAAACGATCAGGAGATGGAACTATAACCGAGAGCAAAGTCGAGTCTCTCCTTCAAGGAAACACTGGAGCTCACCCCTGTAGCATAGCGCAGAGAGCCATAGCGGTAGACTGGACAGAAGGTAGGACCAGGATTCTGGAGTCCTAGGTTCACAGCCTCCGCCACAGGAACTCACAGTTGGGTGGCCATGACAAGCCACCCCTAGAACATCTCACATACCTCGAAAACCTGATAAAGTTTCTGCCATAATTCAGAAGCAACTTGAAGGCAAAGAAAAACAGTCACACAACAATTATTCATTTCTATTCTCCCACTATTTTTACTGCTGGAGTTATTGCAACCTCGCATGCTGCCTTTATTAGGTATGGCTGGGAGGGTCTTTTCCCGGTTGGGATGACTGTCGATATATCCAACACTAATCAGTAGTTCCTTCTCTGTCTCAAATTCAAAGAGAGCCCTGAGTCTCTGCTCAGTGTCTCTCTTGCCCTCTCCTGACTCTTGTCACAAGCAGACACTAATCAGTAGTTCCTTCTCTGTCTCAGATTCAAAGAGAGCCCTGAGTCTTTGCTCAGTGTCTCTCTTGCCCTCTCCCGACTCTTGTCACAAGCAGTGATTCTGTCGAGGCCTGTTGCTGCAAGCAGTCATGTTTATTCCTAGTTTGCTGTCTGGTCTCTTCAACTGTAAGTAAAGAAAATTATTCTTTCTACTTCAAATGTCTCAGAGTAAGTTACTGAGACTGTAAGTGCCAGCTGATGAGTAAAAAAAGGGGGTGGATTAATATGGGGAATTTGAAGCCAATCCTGCTGTATGGATCCCTGCCCTTGTGCATTGGTGCTAGAGGAATTTCACCAATTAATTTTTTAAAAAACTCTAGCAACATTTCTTTGGTGGTACTTGGAATCATTCAAACTGCACACCCTAGGGGCTCACAGGAAATGCAGTTTCCCTGGGGCGGGGGGGGGGCTGAATGCATAGTAGGGACATTGTATGACACTGCAGGCTAAACCTCTCGTACTATCATCTGGGGCTTCTTGGATGAGAATCACAAATGATAGTGCTCCGGGCAGTATCCCAGTCAGAGCGAATCAGTTACCCAGCCATGGACACATGCACTATCCATGACGCCTGACGTCTCTTTCGGGTGCTCTGGAAAGCAGAGTTTCCCAGGACTCCTTGATGGTTCTGAAGATTCCCAGAAACGCAGTTTGTACCACGAACTGGAGAAGACCTTAAGGACCACCGCCAAGCACTCAGTTTCCTAATGCCTTCAGCATTTAAGAGCCGCATAGGTCTGTAAGTCCAAACCAGGTAACTATGAATTTGAGCAGCATCCCGCTTTTCAAAGAGTCTTAACTGCTTGGCAGCTTCCAACTCAGGGCTGACAGCTTGCCATGATTAATTCCGACGATCTCTTTGCCACCAGCGTCCAGGATCAACATGGCTCCAGACAGAAAATAAGCACTAACCCTCAAGGGCCATCAGGAAAGGGCTTGATTAGCGTCTGACTTGGGCTCCAGTCAGAAGACAGAGTTCTTCATGAAAAAAAAAAAAAAACCCAAGAAACCAAAAATGTAAATGAAATAAGAAAAATGCCTGTGCCGTTCACATTTATGCGGGGTTTGGAAGCATCTGAACTGCAGAAATGTAATTGCCACTGGCAGACTGCATTGGGTGACTGCAATGTTAAAAAGTGGCGTTAGGTATATTTGCAGTTTCCTTTATGAATGAAATACCTACCCCTCCCCCACAATCAAAGTGAGTTCCTCCCCATTTTTTAAAAAACTAAAACTACAGAAGCACACCTGGTTCTTGAGAGCCCTGCATCTTGTTACATAGTCAAAAGCAGGTTGCGTGTGATTTTACACACAAAGAGAGGGACACACACACACACAAGCATGCATTACTTGTGACATAGATTTTACATATCGTGTGGACACAGTATTTGGCATATTGTGAATTGCACATTCCGTTTTGCTTTGTGCTGTACTATTTGTTTTACCGTGTTTCCCCCAAAATAAGACGGGTTCTTATATTAATTTTTGTTCCAAAAATGCAGTAGGGCTTATTTTCAGGGGATGTTTTATTTTTTCATGTACAACCATCTACATTTACTCAAATACAGTCATGTCATCTTCTGGTTGCTGCACAAGGGTGGAGGGCATGGTTTCACTTAATTAGGGCTTATTTTTGGGGGAGGGCTTATATGACAAGCATCCTGAAAAATCATACTAGGGCTTATTTTCAGGTTAGGTCTTATTTTCGGGGAAACAGGGTATTGCAGTCTTTGACTGGAATAAATTAAGTTCATTCATATGTATGTATTAAAAGAAATGGAAGCCACTGGGTACAAAATTTGTTGGGAGTTTTTGCAACCTTGCACGTTCCCTTTTAGTAGGCTTGGCTGGGAGGAACCTTTCTGGGTTGGAGCGACTGTTAGTCTACCCGGAAGTAACCAATGGTTCCTTTCCTGCCTCTAAATTTCAAACGGTGCTCTGACTCTCTGCTTTTGAGTCTTTAAGCTGGTTTTAATTTTTCTATAAAGAAAACACATTTAAAAATATAAAAATGGTCCCCAAATCTCCCAAACTGACCCCACAGAAAGCAATTGTGAGATCAACAGCTAAACATTACTCCTTATATCAACAAAATGAGAATGCTCCCATTTGTTTGAAAGAATTTTGCTACGGCCTACTTACCCACAAGAAATAGGAAGTTATACACTGGCCAAAATCCTGTTCTGTAAATTATGGGGAATGAGAAGACTTTTCATAATTAAAGAGCTCCTACTTCTTTCCCAGAGCTCACACAGTTAGTATGCAATGGGACTGATTGAACACAAGTTGGATGAGCCACAGGGCAGAAGCAGGAGCTCTTTAATTACCAAACATCTCCCCCTACTGGTGAAGTCATCACCCTTCTGTAAGTGTAATGGATAGAACAGGATTTTGGCCATAACATAGTTCTTTGTGATGTGTTTTAGTTTTTGATCCTCTGCTTATTCATTACACCTTCAGCAGCTTTGTCACTCGAGCCCCAGTTCTCCTGTGCCTTCACTTTAGCAGTACCTTTTCTCCGCTAAAGCTGTCGATTGGTTCATCTCGCTATTTGCAATAAAGTTTCTGATTTCAGAGAAATACGAGTCTTCCTTCTCGTCTAAAAGTGCATGGTTGTCCGATTCTGAGGTGGGGGAGGCGGCATTGTTCCCCAGGTGGTTTGTGATGACGCCGGCGTGCTGGCTCACTGGGAAGGAAAAGAAGAAGAGAGTCGAAAAGGACCTTCCTTGAGAACGTAAGAAATACTCTCTCATCCTCAGCAAGAAAAGATGTTTCGATGCCACCCAAATGGAGAGATTAAAATGCTGACGAAAAATGGTGATTATTGAATATCAGAAAAAAACACTTCTTAATTGTTCGAGCAGTATGACAACAGAACCAATGATCTCGGGACTTGATGAACCCTCCAACACTGGAGGCATTCAAGGGGAAATTGGGCAACCCTTTTTCAGATCTGCTTTGATTTGGATTCCTGTCTTAAGCAGAGGGGTAGGACTCGATGACCTTATAGACACCTGTGATTTTTCTTCTTCCTTCCCCTTTGTCTCTGTTTTGGGCTTTGAAGACAAGATGGCTACAGGCATTTCTGGAAATCCATTTCTTACCCGCCTATCAAAAAAGCCCTTCTTTGCTTTCCCTTTGGCTCTTCTTATAATCTGATCAATTGGTTGCCTAGCGCAGTAGTTTGCCAGATTCCTCACTGTGGTCCCCAGGTGAAAAGCCAGCCTGGGTACCCTTGGGCAAGCTGCACGGTCCCAGGGCTCCCCCTGGAGGAAGGGAAGGGGAAACCACTTCTAAAAAAAAAAAAAAGCCGGGGCTGATGTGGGGGGGGGAGGACCTCATGCCTTTCCCTAACCCCTGACTCCCTCCCTTACCTGGGACGCTCTCGTGTTCATGTTTCTTCAGATGCCGGTCGAGGTTGGTCTGTTGACCGAAACACCGATTACACAGGTGGCATTTGAATGGCTTCTCCTTGTTGTGGATGTTTCGAACATGGCGTTGGAGGTTCGATGAAATACTGAAAGATCTGTCACAGTATTTACATCTGGGGTGGGGTGGAGAAGGAAGAACAGGATTAAAAACACCCCCCCAAAAAAGAAGCAAAAAAAAAAGAATGCAGGAGAAGGCAGAGAAGCAACATCTTCTCCTCCTCCTTAAGCCAAGGAAAGCCAGTTAATATATTAGCAAGACAGAGTATCAATGGCAGCAGTTTCTTTAGAACCAACCAACTTGGACAAACAGAAAAGTGTACAGATCACGAGCATAAGAACCATATTTCCTGATTGTTGTTGTTGTTGTTGCTGTCGTCATCGTCGTCGTCACCGTCGTCGTCGTCATCGTCATCATCATCATCATCATCATGTGCTGTCAAGCCAATTCTGACTTACAGCGACCCTTTTCAGGGTTTTTCCAGGTATAGAGTCCTCGGAACTGTTTTCCTCTTCCCTTCTTCCAGGGGTGCCCTGGGACTGTGCAACTGCCCCAGGGCTACACAGGTTGGTTCGAGCCCCAAAAGGCCCAGTGGGGGAATTGAACTCCCCAGCTCTGGATCTGCAGCCAGAGACCTAAACCGCTAAGCTACTCGGCCAGAATAAACACGCAAAGACACACCTCCCCTCCCCCAATTTATAGCCATTTTGATTTCCCAATTCAACTAAAATGAGAAGTGGGCCAGTCTGAACAGTGAACCAAATTTGGGCTTATAGATCACATCTGTCTGGTTTTGGACCATGGTCCGAAGTGCCCACTTGGGCTCCGAACTGAGGCAGGGGACTGGTGACCAGTCCTAAGGAAAGTCATCGGAAATATTTTCTGAGAAAACCGGAAGGAAAAGGAAACAGCAGGCAAATACTCTTACATTACACCTAGGTGGTACCATTCCAGATGAAGTTTCTCTTCCCATCAGCTCCCAACAGCTACCAATAAACCATCGAAACACACACACACACACACACACACACACACACACACACACAGAGCACCACCACCACCACTTTACTTCCCTTACGGGGTTTGTAACTAAGAATTCTTTGCTATAGAGGTCTAGTGCATGCACCTAGTCTACCACAGAGAATGCTAAGCGTTTCAAAATCTAGAAATCCCAGGATTCGGTGGCATTGAGACCCTGATAGTGACAGGATAAGCATTTTTTTTTAAAAAAAGTGTTAACACTGTACTGTCCAGATAGGCTCCATAAATGTAAATTAAATAAACTATGCCTGTGGGATGTATTTCTACTTGGTTTGACTACGTGCGCAGGTAATTTGAGGAACTGCGTGGGGCAAGAATGATTTGGGACCGTAGTCTTCAGAAAATGCTGTGCCCAAGGAAAAATGATGTTAGATCTCCCCTTTTAAGCCTATTCCCTTTTGCAACTTCAGCTTTTGTAAGGGAAAGAGGTGCATGTTGTGACATGTTCTGTCTTGAGAGTCACGGATCCACACCCAATATTCTTAATTTCAAGCTGAGCGAGTTAAACAACAGAATAGAGACACAACAGGTTGGATCGGAATTCTGCCATCTAGGCTGGTTGAAACCAATGGGGATTTAAACCAGTCCAGTGAAGATGTGGCCCAGTGTTTACATACAGTGCAAGCCCCTATGTGTCTAATCATTAGGAAGCCTCACCAACTCCATTGGGGGAGTCCTCTCAGGGCAGCATATACATAGAGTTTCAGGAATGTATCATAATACGTCATGAGCAGAGTTCCAAGGTCAGCCAGCAGCTTGGGGTTTTAATCTGAATTTTAGAAGAGCAAGGTAAACTGCTGAACCCTATAGGCCCACAAAAGGTTCAGCACCTTGGAAAGCTCCTTGAAGGCCAGCCCTGATTTACTGCGGGCACAGAATTGCCAATTGAGTTGAAAGGGGGCCTCTAAAGCCATCAAGTCCAACCCCCCCCCTGCTCAGTGAAGGAATCTAAATCAAAGGAGATCTGACAGAGGGCTGCCCAGTTTTCTCTTTAAATCCCGCCAGTGTGGGAGTGCTCACCACCTCCTGAGATCATCAGTTCCATTATCATACTGCTCTAACAGTCGAGAAGTTCCCCCTGATATTCAGCATGCATCTGGCTTCCTGTAGCTTGAGCTCATGATGATGTGTCCTGCGCTCTGGGGTGATGGAGGACAGATCCTGCCTTTCCTCTGTTGGACTACCTTTCAAGTCTTTGAAAAGTGCATTGCAGCTGCCAGCCTCCGCTGGTTGGACCATATCACTGTTCTATCAGCCACCCATGCCCTTTCTGAGGCACTGGATGCTCTTTCCCTTCCTCGCTGGGGTTACACCTGTCGTTTTCTCTTCCTTACAAGAGCTGACCAGTATTTTAGGAAGACTAAGCATACTCTGGTGGTGGGATTTGGGCCTCCATTAGGGATTACAAGTTGTGGTTGCTTAGTGTCACAGCAATGGATCGGAGATAGGAGGGGTAACAGTAGTAATAGCAGTGTTACCCATTAAAGAAATTATGGGATTTGAAAAACTCCAAAGTTCTCCCAAAATTCCTGAAGAGGGCAGTCTTAGGCCAGTCATGAAGGTGCAAATCAAGCTCAAGCTACAGCTCCTGCAGAAAGTCTCTTTAGCACCCTCAGTCAACCAAAGCATACTTGAATTAATTGATTTCACCCAAATCAAGCTAGCCAAGGCCACAAAACTTTACTTGCTTCATTACTTATTTCTCCCTTCCCCTTCCTAGAAAAGGAACCCACGCAACAACTGTGGCTTTTTGTCCACTGAAAGAAATTTCCCCTCTTAGTGCTTCAGATCTGAGCTTGGGTTTTGGGCTCCATGGGCATGATGACAAGGTTGGCTGGGAAATTCTGTAGGATGCAACCTCACAAAATAAAAGTTTCCCCCAAGTGTTCCGTTGTGTCACTGAGTGAGTTCGTGCAGAGCAAAGGTGACTCCGAACCCAATCTTTCCAGGCCTGCCCAAAAATGTCAACACTTTCTACCTTCTGCAGACAGCACCTACTTTCTCAGCAGGCGACAACAAAAACGGTGAGGTTTTTTTTCCCCCTGCAAAATCTCTTTCCTGTTATTTTTGGAGGCAACATAGGTATGTCTCCACGTTCCTCCCCCCCCCACCCTCAGCCTTTCTGGGTACCTGGGTTGACTGCATGATTTTCTGGTACTGAAAAATGAGCTGGGTTAAAGATGTGGACTGCCGCCCTTGGCCAACCCAGAAACATAGACACACAGGCACAGGCACACAAAGACACACACATGTTCCTGCACAGACAAGAAGTTGTTGCTAAAAGCCATGAGTCTGTCCTAAATCCACATCATTTGCCTTTCCAGCCCTGAATGCCTCTTCTCTCCTAATTCTACCCCTCGCCTTCCTGCTCCCCATCTCCAAGACATCTCTCCTCCACCCCAGTGCCGTTTCTGAAGACCTGGCCCAATTCCCCCCCCCCCACACACACACAAAGAAGGTGATCGGCTGATCCAGGAAAGCCCCAGGAGTGGCAGTTCTTCTTTTAAACACGTCCCAGGACAAACCTCCCAACGTATAAGGCCCTTTCTTTCCTAAACCAAAGTAGATTTCTTTGAGTTACCCCTTTTCCTTTCCTTTAGGGTGGAGCAAGGCCTAGTTCCTTCCAGCTTTACCGTTCTAAGATGATGATGATGATGATCCAGATTATACAACATGACAGTGGCTCCTCCTTCACTACATGAACTTTTAAGGAATGAGGACCATTGTTTGGGGAGTGGAATTATTCACATATTTTCTAACAGGCGGCCACTTGTTCTGTGCTTGTTAGGAGTATGAATTTTGCCCAGAGCCAGCTTGTGCAAATTTGGATGACCTGGACAGTCAAGACAAAAGCACAGGCCTCGCTCCTGGGTCCCAGAACTACCTTCTTGGCGAGACTTATTCAGCTGAGACAGCCCAAACCAACGAGAGGTGGGAATTTTGCCCTATGGAGCAAGGCGGCGAAATTCAGCTTGAATTCATCATTCCTTCCTTGAGCTTCATGCTTTTCTTACCCACACAAGCCTTCAAGCATGCATATATACATGATAAAATTCTCTGATTAAACAGCTCAACAAAGAAACCACTTAAGGAGCCAGAAGGAGAGCATTGTTTAAATAGATGAACTAGAAACTGGGGTCATCCTCCTTCTGACCAATGCCAGGAG